TCTCACGTGCTCTCAGGCATGTGGATGGAGTAATGAAGCCAGCACTGACAGCGTCTTCTTTTAAAAAAGTAACTAGAGAAGTTGGAGAACATCAGGGCACAACTTAGCCAAAGTTAAACACACTGAAATCTTATTGTTTCCAACTGGACAGAGTTTAACATGTGCTTCAGCTTCCTGTTGAAATCAGTAGGATGCAGAATGCAGCATGCTTTGGCTGGATTTCATCCTATCTGCTTTACGTCTCGGGAGCCACTGTTTCACTCTCCAGTCTGTGTGTGCACTGCTGTGATTCCAGTTATGAACACACAGCATTAGGCATGCGGGAAGAGCCTATTATTTTCCATGAGAAGGAAAGCACCTGGACAGTGCGACTGCAAAGATGCAAATGCATGGAGCTGCCCACGTTTGCATGATCACAGGAAGGTGGACATGCCACAGTGGCTTATTACACTGTCATGCATCTAGCCAGATTTCCCCAATTACTGCTGCTGGTGCAGCAAGCATATCCAGTAAACCACAAGCTGCTATTGAGTAATTGGAGGGTTGCTGACTTACCCGCACCCTCAAAAGCTGTCCTGCCTCAGGACAGATGACATAGCAAGCTGTACCAGCAAGCATGATTTGGAGAATCTGGCTAGCATGTACAGCAGGGGGAAATAAGCCTCCACAGCATATTCCACTCACTGCAACCATGCAAAGTGGTCCGCTAGTTCAGAGTATTGGCCCACCTAACTCAGTATCATTTACACATGCAGCGTGGCTCTCTAGCAGAATCCCTTCCCTGTCCCATCTTCCAGGAGGTAGACCTACTGCATACAAACCATGTGCTCCACCACTGAGCAAAAGCTGCCCTTAAAGACTTGGGAAAGCTGTGTGGGAGACACACCAAATATTCCCTTTTCCTCTGACATGCGGGAAATGCTGCATATGCAGGCGGTGGGCTAAACTTCAACAATCCAGGAGGGGCACCTGGTGCCAACACTTTATTCTTTTCAGTGCTAGGACAAAAGCTTTTTATTTACCCAGTATTTTGATTGTTTTATCATATAATCGGAACTGTTTTGTAGTATATTTTATGTATTGTATTTTAATGTGCAATTACTTTTCAAGACATCTTGAGATCTGTGTGTCAAAAAAAGAAGGGATAGAAATGCTTTAAATAAATAAATATGTATACCATGGCTATTGTAACCATTGCAATTGCTGCTAATAAAGTGAACATAAACTACTCCCAGAATCTGCAGCTTTTTTTCTAGCATAGCATGGGGCTCAATGGAAATGGGTTTTTAATTGATGTTTTTGATACTGTTTTTATTGTTTTGCTTTCCTTTGTAGTTGCTTTGAATGTTATTTTAGCAGAGTTCATGACTAACACATTTAAAAATAATCATAGGATACTGCAGAAATGTAATCTGTGCACAAACTTACAGTTACTGTATTTGGATGAGGTTATAAAAATGAAGTCAGATTTAAAACAGAGGTAAAAATGAAAGAAAATAAAACCATCCTGAAATACGGAGGTTACTACTGAATGGTGCTAATTAACTTGAGTTAATTTCCTCCATTATTCCATTTAAAAACTATGCTGATTATTCATTTTGGTGTGCAACAGATTTTTATTCCCTAGCCATTGAGGTTTGTAAAAGCTAATTTCCAGCTCATGTTTATGAAATTTCATTATGTCCAAAACAAGAGGTGGATCGTCAAAACATAGCTCAGACAAGATATAAATCACGAAAGAAATGCGGAAAATGCCTCCCCACTGAATCATCTGGCAAAGGTGGCCTAGCACTGAATTAATGCTAGTAAGCTCATGAAAGGTGAATGTCCTTAATTCTTCAAGCTACAAGGGGATTAATGAAGACCCCCTAAAGGCACACACAATATGCTGAAATATCACCTGCCCAGTGAAATTAAAGGACTTTACCTATATCTGTCACTGGATGATTTGTGGAGAAGATCCCAACAGATTGTGCTTAAGATAGGGTTCGGGGGCACTGGTAGAACATTTATTTTCCATTCCAATTGATGGCAGTGTGCTTGGTTGAGTTACTCAAGACTGACAGGCATCCAGCAGTAGCAAAGAACTGGCAATGCTATTTGCCCTTTGGAAGAGAAAGTTCAGCAAAAGGATTTCAGGCAACAAACCAGCCAGTCAAGCACATGTAACTCTGACTTCAGTGGAAGTGGTTTAAAGATCAATTTGAACTTCTTTTTTAACCAAAATCAATGGGAAGTGCTTAACTTTTACTGGAACATTCCCAAAGTTTTCTATAGTTTACATAAATATGTACTTTAAAGATCACATTTGAACATAAAGTTTTAGTCATTTTAGTTTCTGTTTTAAAACATGGCCCCCAACAAGATGAAAATGGCACATCTACAAAACACAGAATTTTAACTGAAGAGTTACCTGAGACCCTGTAATGTGAAAGACAGACAAAAGGAACAATAGGATATAAAGAACAGTCCCCTGAAAGGAAGTACAGTTAAGATTTGTTACTACGAACATTGGGAGGGGGAAAGAAACAAGCAAAACTACTCTAAAACTCACCATCTCTACACTGGTTGCTAAGATATTTTATAGGGACATATAACAGCACTAGTACACACTACATAAACACTGATCACTTTTTAAAAACCTCATATATGCATGTATAGGATACAAGAGGATACTAAAGGTTACAATTGTGCCAATTATTAAAGACATATTTTTCTCCCTCATGTATAGTGCATTCATAATAAACGGGTTATTCCTATGGAGTTCATTGAATGTATTCTTACAAGCTCTATGTTCAATCTACCCAATAGGTTAAAAACTATTTTAAGATTAATACCTGTATATCACTGCACACGTCCCAGTGCAATGGTGCACTGTATGCAGTTTATGAATGGTGCACTGAGCATCTAGTTTTATACTGTTTTATCTAGTTTTATCCTTCTAGTTTTATACTGTCCCTCGGCTGCCGCAACTTGTGATGGTGGTTTATGACACAGGAGTTCGGAATGGACATAGGATGAGAGTAAGAGACTAAAAAGCAAGTATGTACACCTCAAGATCTCTGTTTTGAGGCAGAATGTGTCCTTCTGAAGTTATGTATTGTTTAGAATAATCGCAACATTTATACAGACTAACTTCAGGGTTCAATTATTCCATTCACCCTGCTGGCAGAAAGAGAAGAATACATCAAAAGGCTGTATAAAGAACTTTGTAAAAACAAAAACAAAAAAGGGGGAAATCACACAACTGAACTACACAGTAAAACACTAATAACTATTTTGTATGTGAAAGCGAGGATATACATACTTCTGTAGCAATATAAAATTAGGCACAAATTATATGATGGCTTCTTGAGAAGGAGAGACTGTAAACAGAAGTGAAGGAAAGCAAGAAAAACATATACGGGACAAAATTAAATTTAAGACTTACTATTTTTTCTCTCCCCAGTTTGCCAAGAAAATAAAACCATAAAATAAATATTTAGAAGATCTGAGACATTTTTAATGAAAAGGGGGAAACCTTAGATTATTAACTGAAATGTGTGAAATTAATTAAGACAGAGGTGCCCATCCACCCCCACTCGGCACTCTTGCACCAGATTTCGGAACAGAAATACAGCTTTCTTTCCACAGAAAGCATCATCCCGCTCTCATTTTAGCCCCCCTGCCCCGCATGTGCCTTTTAAAAAAGCTTGAAAGGCTCATCAGTCTCTTTTCATACCAGTGCCAAGCATCATAATATATTAGTGCACTGGGCTGAAAAGCTGTTTCCCTATATATTTTAAAAGCATCTCAGCCAGTGCAGCTACTAAATGGAAGACGTGTGGGCTGAACCAGTGGGCGACACTTGGCTCCCATGGTGCAACAACTGGGAGATTCACTTCGAACTCATCAGAACCCTTCTGTCTTTGTATCTGGCATTACCGAGGTAGGAATCCAGTTCCATATGTTATGTATCATCCTCAGCTGTATCCTGCAAGGTTCAGTGGCTTTGTATACCCAATTCTTATTTTGTGTGTGCATGTAGCATAAAAACCCTGGAAGCAGAAAAAGGGAGCCATTGCTCAGTACAAGAACACGTTTTCATGTATGATGCTCCAAGTTCAGACCTCATCAACTTCAATAAAATCATCTCTGAAAGTCATAAAGACTTTGGCCTGAGTCAGCTTGCCTGTAGTCACAACTTGCAGAATAGGCACCTCCTTGACTCTATTCTGTATCACATCCTCTTAAGATACTCAGGTAGTTGTAACTTGGGGCAAATAGATGTGCAGTGCATTTACCAATGTGGCGCCTAAGCACTTGACTACAGTCTTCATATAGTTTTACATGTCCTGACTAGGTAGCTCCCAGACCTAATTATTGCCCTTTAAAATCAATGAGAAAACCAGCCTGACTGTTCACAAGCAGCAAAAATTACTCACCATTTTAGCCCTGTGTTTACTGGGTTTTACATGAAATAGGCTATAGCAGCCTTGGCGATATTGATTTTATCATGTGAAAAACCTACTTTTTTAGCCAATCAAGATAGGAAGCATGAACCTGCAGCCTCCCTCTAGTTTCTACACCATGCCACATATAGTTGCAAATGCACTCATCTCTCAACAAAATTGAAGCAGAGGCAGTAGTTATGGGGGGCCCAGATGGTGCCAGCAATTTGTAATTCACCCATGCGCCTTCAGTAAACAAATCAAATTGTGTGAATTAGCTCTAAGAGCAAAATTGGCCCAGCACTCACAAAAACAATTTTCCAATGAAACCGATTGATTGTCACTGTTCTCAGTGAAAGTACGCCTTTCTGGGCACCACTATTCATAAAGACCAAAACCCAGTACTTAAAGTGGTCTATCTAGTTCGTTACTATACAGGCATGCAATGATAAATCTTACTTTCTAAACAACCACTTTCAGGCACTGTGAGTGAGGGAGGGAGGGAGGGAGGGAGGGAGGGACAAAATCAAAGAAATGGGATGTACAACATGGACACAAGTAGGGGATTCATTAGCATTGTGTCCCCAGTTCAAACTCTTTCGGTGACAGCTTAAGTCCAAGGGAAGACGTTCCCAGTGGGTCTATCATATTCTGATAACGGTTACCACGGTGTTTAGCCAAAAATGGGCCCCAATCCGGCTGAGGAGAGCACACCAACTTGAGCCTCTAGAATTGGGAGAAAATCAGTTAGAAAAGTAGGTGATCAGCCGAAATTACGGGTGTTAGTTACTCTACACAGTAATATTGATATATCCTGCCGTTCATTGTTTGTTTCAGGCAAGATTAGTACAAAATAAAGTGTCCAGATTTTAATTATCCAGCCGTTGCCATCTCTTTTTCCTTTCCCTCTCTTCAGTTCTGCAATGAGACCTATGAAAGCCATTCACAGTTCCTATACTCACACACCAAGGATATGTGCTCAATTATTTAGCCCAATCATTCAAGCAGTGGGTTACTGCATCAAAATAATTGGATTTTTGTTTAGCAAATGTCCCAAAAGTATACAGATGACCAAAAAGTTATACATTGCCGGGAGTGAGCAAAGATTTTAATTATCATATCACAAATTATTTTACTTCTATGGAGGAAGAAACCCTCAGTTAATTCTGCAGAGGTACAAACAGTGAGAATCTTGTTTATCTTGACACTGAATTCTTTGCTGAAGATATAATTTGATTGCCTTTTAGATACAAAAGGAGGGGAGAAGCATATTTGGGAAGCTTTAAAGTGAACAATTATGCGTTTATTACCTATTAAAGAGAATCCAGTCTCCATATCAGTTATTTTAATTTCTGCTTAATTACCAGTTTGCAACCTTTGCCTCCCAAATCAACAATAACGAACTGGGTATCTCAGAAAATACTGTGCTAAAAGTGAAATAACTGCTGCTGAAAATGCATTCCTTCCAAATGAGACATGATGTATTTGGGACGGCTTTGGGTATTATGCTTTAAAAGGCGAAGAACTGGCTTTGTTTTTGACTAGGTGATATGTAAGCCGTTTCCAAGCCAGTTTAGGAGCTCAGAAATAAACTGACTGGACAGAAAAAGAAAATGGGGAAGTGTGAGGAGGAAAGGCAGTATGTTAAGTGAGTGTTTAGCGGGTGTTAATTCCCTTTAGCAGGTATTTCAGCAGAAGCAAAACAAAACTATAAACAGCTTCCTTGCTTTGTTGCAAGAGTACTTGTTCACCACCCAGAGAGCATTAGCAGTTGGGCATTACAGAAATAGAATAAACATCATCACCATTATCATCCCCTCTTCCTCCTCCTCCTCCATTCCTCCTCCTCCTCCTCAACTGCTAAACTATGCTTGCTCTTTGCTTATTTTCAAAAAGATAATTTGTCTCCAAAGTATGCAGCCTGGTCTCCAAAGTACTAAGGATGTATCACTAATTAATTACTACTACCCTTGGTAGGGCTCTTTAGAGTGTTCAGAAGTATTTACTTGCATTATTTCACAGCAACAATTAAAACTAATGGGTGACTGCCTTACTCATCAAAATCTCTCCCTTTGAACCTACCATTTCTACAGAACAGAGCTTTCCATATATATATACACATATACATATACATATACATATACATATACATATATATATAGAGAGAGAGAGAGAGTCAGCTTGCAGTACTACCACTCCAACAATGCTGAATGATTATTTTAATGGCTTCGAACAAAACCAACATGAATTTGCTCCCTAAAATTTTGCTCCTTTGTGAATGTGCACGTATTCTCCAGATGTACTCTGGAAAATATTCTGTGCTCTTCATATAGATCAGGGATGTGCAAAAGCCTTTAGCAAGTGATCACATCTGACTTATGGCAAGATTGCTATGTCCTTTATGCAGGAACCCAGGAAGAGAGATGGAAAGTGAGAGAGAGAAAATGGGTAGCAGAAAAAAGAGATGAAATGCCAGTGGCCCCACCTCTTTTTGCATCAGCTTTGCTCATGGCCATCATTGGTCCCTCACAGATCACCCACAAGGCAAAGTGGCTCTTGACAGAAAAATGCTTCCCTACTGTTACATAGATCTTTGCTGTTTTATAACCAACAACATACACACTGCATACTTGTCTGATTTCCCAGATGGAAGCAATTGCTTAACTGGAACCAGGCTCTTGACACAGGGACATTCACAACAGAAACGTAAAAATGAAGAGTTGTGTACTTGTGCCTCTGTTATGTGTGGACAAATAGGACAGAGACTGTAGAAGTCAGATGTACACTCAGCAGGCACACTATCTCTAATTGTGAAAAAAATTAAGCCAAAGCATGCTTTTAAATAGTATTCCAACGTTTTAATGATTGTTTTACAGTTTTAAAAGGCAGGGTGCTTACCTGTAACTGCCTTTTTTGAGTGCTCATCTGTGAATTCACACACAGGGGCTCTGTGCCTGTGCAGGAAACTTCCACAGCTAAGAAAACTATTCCTGAACATTTCAATGTGTATCTCCCTGGTGTACTCCGACCTATTCACTCAGTTCTTTGAGATGGACAATTAAAGCCCCGGAACAGGGAGAAAGCGCCATACCAAAACAGACACTAAAGCAGGGCAATGGGAGCACTGCAAGACTTCACGGACATCCAGTTGAAGAACCACAGTTACAGGTCAACCAATGGTCTTCATGGTCTCTGTGCAGCCCACACATGGGCAAGTAGCAAGCTGACCCACCAGAGGTGGATTTGGTGCTGGCAAGACAACGCATACAAAGGAGCAGTCAGCTCTGGTCCTGATGTCCAATCTAACAAGTTATGAAAGTTGATGGTTTTGACCATCCACAGCAAGGCATTCCTGCAGAGGTGCCTTTTGCAAATGCCACTCCCCGTGTAGCTACTCCCCGTGTATAATACACACCAACCAGATCCAAGAGTTGGAGTTCTGTGTGTTCCTAAGCTGGTTTGATGGCATGCACAGACCATGAGAAATCTTTGGGATGACACTAAGACTCTTTTGCACTGAATATAACAGAAACAGGTGAGGTGATCAATGGGACAACTCAGTTTGCAACTTTTAGAAAGCTAGAGCTCACCATAAATCCAAAGAATATGGTGAGCTTTTAGAAACCCAAAAGCTCACCATAAATCCAAAGAATGGAAAGCTTGAATATTGAAGGTAAAGGAAAGAGACAGACAGAAAAGTGTCATGATTCAAATGAGAATCAAGGATAACCTTGGGAAGGGAAGCCGTATCAGAGCATGGCTTTATTACAGTGGAAGACCATTCAAGATCTTTGAGTAACCAAAACACAGATCATAATCTTCCAGGACTGCAGACCAAGGACAAGGATGGCTAATGGTTTGAAAGCCTTAGTAGTCAAAGCCTGAAGAACTACAGCGAAATCCCATGGTCCCACTGGTTTTCTAACTAGAGGGTCAAGATGCTTGATACCTCAGAAAAATTGCTTTACATGAGCATTTCTCATGGTCATGAACAGTTAACAGTTGTGCCTCAGGGCTGTTGCTAGAGAATCAGAAATGGTAATGAGATGATACTGGATGATTCTCATTCAAAGTTCATAACTTGGTGGCTGCCTTTAATCATTTATTATGATATGTATCTGCAAGCTTACAGAAAGTCTGCATGATCTTCCACCACCCATCAACCTTATCAAGTTAGTTAGGCTGAGTCAGTGACTGGCTCATTAGTCCTAAGATTCTCTTTATCTTTGATCCCAAGGGTATTTTGATGGATAGCTTCTAGGTGAGGGAGCTCAATGTAAAAAGCCTGGCTTGAGGAGGACAGACACAACTGGGATTGAGCTTGAAATTGATGTTCTTGATATTCAAACAGAGGGCAAGTTTGTGAAGGAGGCTGCAAGTGGAGTGAACAGCACACAAAAGCCCTGTCTTCATGGGCACTACAAGTAGTCAGTCATACCATATAGGCAGAGATTGGGTGCAATTAACAGTCATACATTTAACAACTAGACCATAGACAGCTCAAAGTGTCAGGCAAGGAACTGGCAGTGGCCTCTGTCTATGCAGATGCAAAATGCAGAAAAGAAAGGTATTTTGCCTTTATAGTGAGAGGAAATTTGGCAAACTTTATATATAACAGTGCAAACCAATCATCAAACCAAAGCAAAGGAAGAATGGCAGACAGAGTGCCCATACTGAAGTACCTGAGTATAATCAAGTGATTCGTCTCTATAAAGTCCAAGATGAGGCATAGCCTCCATCTTTTTTAGGACCATGAAAGATTTGGTGTAGAAAGTGCTTCCTACATTCTCATGTGGGACCAATTCTATTGCTCCTTTTGACAGGAAGATAGTGACGTCAGGACAGGTGAATAGGTGAACCTGATGGGCCCTAGTGTAGCAAGAGTATAAAACTCTGGTCCCCAGTCATGAAGGAAGAGAGATATACAAGAGCTGAATGCGCCGGCAGACAGAAAGAGAAATGGAGCTGACAAACCAAAGGCAAGGATTGCCTGCTTGGTCCTGCTTGCAGTGTGTGTAGCAAAACTTGGATGACAGAAATTCACATTAACCTGCAGTTTGAGAGTGATGAAACTGTTAACCTGCCCCAGAGTAAGACGGTAGCATGTGTATTTCCAGTACCACTGTCTTGCTTAATATGAAGATGCAAATTGGCCCATGCCTAGTCACTTAATGGTATTTTTTGCACCTTCTCTGTAGCATACAAGGTTTCATCTATTTGTGTGTTGACAACCCATTCCCACCAAAGGGCAAATATGCAGTGTAAGAACCAGCCTACTGGGAAAGTCCTCTGACTCACAGCCAGGCATTCCTTCCAAGTGCTATGAAATTAACCATAGTCTTGGGATTCCTGGGCACCAAGTAGTATCAGAAGAGACACACAGACTTGTTCTGAAAGACTTGTGCCTGTTCATGCTTCTCCTTTGACAAGGGTTCAAATAACATCCCTATGTTTACCCACAAGAAGAAATAGTAATGAGATATTGCCATCTGATCATCCCTAAAGCACAGGCTGAGAATCATAGAATAAATGTGCTTGTTAAACATACCAAACCTCCTTCCTTATTTGTCCAGTGGGAAAGAATTCACTCTTGGATATTATTTTTGCTAAATCTCTACTATCAGAGGCAGATTTAGGGAAATGAAAAGACAAACCAGCATCAGACTCTGGACTTTGCATATGTGTCCAAGATGCTTGGAAGCTGATGGTGCAAAGGATGGAGTTTTCTAAGATTGCTGAATGGCCTGACATAAAGTGGGCAAGACTGGAATGGCTACAAGGGAAGGAGCCCTTATGTGTGCTGTACAGGGACTGCAAAGGAGGATTATAAGGTGCCTTCAGAAGATTTTCTAAAGTCAAAGATGACTCAGAAATGCTTACATAAATAAATAGTTACAAACTTGTCCTGGTCTACTTGGATGTCTGTATCGCCAGTCAGAATTAATACATTTACTATTAACAGCTGGACTGCATTTTATGCCAGCTGCAGAGGTGCCTCCGTTCTGCGGCACTAGGGAAATATGAGACGCCCTGGCTCATGTGGAGGGAGCCCACACACTATTCCGGTGTGACGCTAGCTTCAGAGCCATTAGCAGTGCTGGCTGATCCCTCAAACCGGGGGCCATTTTGAATGTTTAAGCTGCAGAAGGTGGTCATAATGACTTATCATGTTCTGTGACCCAAGCAAGAGTGACTTATATGAGGGTTAAACAGTTTTAAGGCTCAGCAAGTAAGATTAAGTCCTTGCTGGTTTCCACAATACGAGAAAGCCATTGTGTGCGCCAGCTGCAGCTTGAATATTCAGAAGAGCTGCCGGCACGCATTGCAGCCCACCAAGCTGCAGTGGACTGCAATGATCATCATGCGAACATCATCTTCAGATGCACGGTCCCAATTGCCATCTCTAAGGCACTCTTACCAATCCAATGGCAACACACCTTTCAATAACTGTAACCCGTCCAAAAATGTTTTTTTTAACTGTGATCCTGTATCCTACATAAATAAATAACAATGGAGGGAAGATGTTAGATTTACCTCAATAAATTTGCCAGGAGCTATGTGCATTTTGATCACAAACATAATGGGTATCCAGATAACAGAACAAGCCAGCATCAACCATCCTAGTACCATAGACCAGCCTGGATAGTGGTAGCTGCCGTAAGTCATCGGTTCCCACTGGTAGAAGCTGAAGGAAAGGATGAACTGGTAAAAAAAAAAAAAAAAAGACCTTATTTAGCCATATGTTTTAATATTAGCCATGCATAAGCACACATACCTTACAAAATGTGTGTGTACATACATAAGCTCATATTCAAATTTATTTTATGAAATTATATATGCATAAAAACACATCAGTATACAACAATGTGATCAGGCTCTGTTGCACCTCCATAAATGTAGCATAACTCCACAGAAATCAATGAAATAAAGTTAGATTTACAGGAGGGAATGAAATCAAAATCTTGTACCTACAGTAAAAAGCTTTATTATGCAGTCTATTGGCAGTATAGCTTAATGTAATTATCTTGTTAGTCCATTGCACTTACTGTATAAAGAGCAATGCATCTGCTTGTGTTGGTGCATAATTCAGTAACGTCTGCGAACTGCCTACGTATACAATAATTTCATGCAGAAGATTTATAGCAGTGGTACCACAAAAGAACCTATAAAAGTGGCTCGCTTTATTTCAGAAGATGTGGATCAATTTAAACTGTAATCTTAACCATTGCAATACATCAAATATTAGATGTAACGAAGGCTACAATAAGAAAGAAAGATGCAGGTGAGGCTGGATTTCTGTTTTTCTTGTATACAATACTGCATCTTCAACAATCAATATGAAATATTATTTCTGTTCAAGCTAGAAACCTATAATATTTCTGCTCGGTGCACCAAATCTTGCCCATTTCTCTCCCTTCATGGAGTAGATCAGTAGCCCTGGGAATGTGTGTAAACTACGAAATGTAAAATGCTACCATGCACTGCCTCTTTGTCGCTGCCAAGGATTGTGGGGAATGGACAGGCAGCAGCAAGAAAGAATACCGTGGGGCAGGCGATGGGGGGAGCTGCCTCCAGCTGGGCTGCTTACCTGATTCACTTACTCTTACGTCAAGAGGCAGCAGTGGCAGAGAGGGGGAGAGCCAGGAGTCAGGGCCTATCAGGCAGGAAGCCAGGCAGCAACTGGTTGGACCAAGTGGACAAGACACATGGGCTAGGTGGGAGAAGGGGCAGCACTTTAATAAGGCAGGAGTGGACCAACTCTAGTTCCCAAACTGCGGCCAACGTGGCTGCAAAACCAATTGTCTCTGCCGCCAGGCCAGCATCCTGCACATGCAGAAGACTAAAAGGGGTGAGCACATGTCAATAAGCCAACAGTAGAGGAGCACCAGCCTATCCAGGTATGAGGATTCTGACTGTCAAGAGCTGTCAGTTCTCTTATCACTTCAAGCTTCGGCCTTTGGTGGATATAGCAGGACTCAGATCAGTTTATACACCATATTTCACTGTTTCAATTCATATGTGAAGGAAACTTCCAGACTGCTTTTTGGAGATACATGAACAGATGCATGTTAGAATTTAATGTATGGGACTGGTGACAAGAATCGTAAGTCTTGAAGCAGAACTTACTGTTCACACCCTGTCTGAGCAGTTCCTCCTTCAGTGCAACATGTTGACTAGCTAAGTTAGTCAAAGCTAAACTCAGTCTTTTCTTCTGATCCTCACTCCAAGCCAAGATTAATGAGGGCCAAGCCTGAATTAGAGATGGGCAGGGCCTCTGGCAGACCTGGATTTCCAATATCAAGATGGAACTTGGAGATAATCTCAGTGATTATCTCTTCACATCACACTCAAGTAAGGAGCAGATGGCATTACTTGACCTTTCTGAGCTTTAGAGGTACAGAGATATCTAATTCATCATGCACATGAAAGTGGAATTAAAATTATTGCAGCAAAAGAAGGTAGGCAAAGAGACTGGTAAATTAAAAGGGCAGCCATATGAGATACTGTGGTTAAGATGGGACTCTTTAAAGGGAGAGGCAGGAATCACATGTTGCTGGGACTCTGACAACCAGGGGGTCCAGGTGATCAAGCCAATAAAACAGGAATGCTATCTCAGTTTTGTCTTTTCGCAAATCTAGTCACATTAATACCCTTTCAAGTAATAAAAAGACTTAGAAATTCTGGAATATGTAATTCAGACTCTGGATATAATGCACATTAGATTAGAGGTAGGTAAGTATTTAAATTAGCCAACTAGTTTTCTTTCTACTTTGCCAAGTCTTTCTTCTCTGAAGTATTAGATTAAATGGAGACATTTCTGGTTTCATTAAGGAAAGTCCAAAAAAGTTCACTTTTGGGTGGGAAGGGAAAAGATCCACAAAACGTGTGTGTGTGAGAGAGAGTGATACTGTTTCCCCAGGGCTCCCCTAAATTGTGTTTCACTATTTAAAAAACCTATGTTTAAAAACCTCAGAGCTTTAGACTTCCAGTCTGGAAAAAATAGATTACTGCAGATTCTAGTATCTTATTCCACTTTCAACAAGGAGTTCAGATGGAGAGGAGGGAATAAACTTTTTAAAAAACATGTTTTTATATGTTTCGGTGGCAATAGCAGATGTTTAGAAAATATAACAGTATATGATCATGTTCAGAAAGAAATATAGGACATTCCTTGCACAGGATTTTATACTGCAGACAGAAGAAACATATGGCTCTTCTGTTCTGCCTTTAGAAATTCGAAAATGGTCATCAATCTATTTTAAAATACACAGATGCATATTTCTACACATCCAATAAAAATGGGAGACTTATAAGAAAGAATATATGATTCAGGCTGCTTATCTAATACGTATGTTTGCTCCTTTCCCACCCACCCCAAAATAAAATACAGATGATCAGATGGACCTTTACCGCTATATAAACATGATACATATTTCCTTCCCTTTCTGTACCAGGACCTTCCAAACTACACACATCTTGTGTCTCAAGTTTGAGAAATCTGAAGCTCCTGATACAGAGTGACACCTAGTGGCACTGGGAAGCTACTCCTGCTAAGCTGCCTGGACATTCCTTTTATACATGGCATCTTGTAGTTTTCATTGGAATACATTGGCTGTATTCCAGCCAATGTATTCCAAAAGCAAAGCCAGATTTACTAGAACAGTTATTCACAATGGCTCAGCTCTGTGAGAACAACCAGCATTCTCGGGAATAAATAAGTAGTTGGCAGTCAGTCAGCACTTCCCATCCTCAAATATGGGCTTGCTTCTGAGAAAGATGGCAGAATTATTGATACTCTGGAAAAAAAAGCATCATTCCAGCACTGCTTATTTTATTATACTCTTCACATCAAATGCCATGAGGATCTTTTGCTTTTGTGAGTGCCTTGCAAAGTCTGGATCTTTAGATTTAATACTTACCAAAGTACCAAATACAATTAGGCCTGGAATAGGCTTCACACTGGTTAAACTGCATTTGATTCATGATTATTCTTCCCAATGCCACACTGTTGTTTTTCCTGCCCTAATACTATAGAAGGACTTCAGTCGTTCAGATTCTTTCCCATTTATTCCTATTTATTTATTTAGAGAATTTCTAGGCCGCCCCATTCGCCGAAGCCTCGGGGTGGCTTACAAATAAATAAAAGGACTTAGGACCGTTCCCAAATAATTGGAGTGGCAAGGAAAGCTGCTTAGCCACAGTGAGATTTCTATGCCATCAGTGGACTGGGACAAACAGCATAGACCTTAGCTTTGTGATCATGGCCTGCCTTCCTGATCAGGTGACTACTGGTTTAGGAAAGGCCTTGCCCAGGTTTTTCCACAAGTGTGTGAAATCACATCCTACACTACCATTAAAGGTAAAGGTTCCCCCTGTACATGCTGGTTGTGACTGACTCTAGGGGTGGTGCTCATCTCCATTTCAAAGAGCCAACATTGTCCAAAGACACTTCTGTTGTCATGTGGCCAGCATGACTAGACGCTCTTGCCCACAGAACGCTGTTACCTTCCCACCAAAGTGGTACCTATTTATCTACATGAATTTGCATGCTTTCAAACTGGGGCAAGTCATGGGAGGTTGGCAGAGGCTGGAGCAAGTAATGGGAGATCACTCTGTTACACAGCACTAGGGATTCGAACTGCTGAACTGCTGACCTTCTGGTTGACAAGCTCAGCATCTTTCCTGCTAAGCCACTGAGCCCCACACTGCATTAGAAGATGCTTTAAAGCAGACATCCCTCTCCTTCTGCCCTCCAGATATATTGGACTGTAATGCTAGCTGGAAGCCAAGTATCAGCCAAGAGAAAGCATAATCCAGTGAGAGAAGACAATGCAGAAGTTGATCCAGCTACTGGAAGACAGTTGATCTAGCTAAGACAGATAAAATATTTAAGTATATTGGTGAAAGGTGCTTGCAGATGGAGGGCTCCTCAAAAGGAACTAGCTAGATATTCTGTATTTTTTAACTTATTTTTTCTTAAGAAGGCAGAAGTGGTGGGGAAACATGAGAGGGTTATAAACTGAAGGCCACATCAACTGGAGCCCCCATAAAATTCCATGAATTAGTTAGTGCGATCACACAATAAAAGCCTGGTCTGGAGACACCCTGTATTTTAGCTTCAAGATTACTGCCTTTGGGAAACAGCAAATTCAGCTAGATTTAGCCATTGTGGGTTATCCATAGTGCAGGCAGAAAAAGTTGTCATATGTAGATGTTCCAGGACATGCTTTCCCCATCAGCCCCCACTGTTGTGGTCCTTACTGTTAAAATAGTCGGTGTCACAAAAGCCCAACAGACTCTCCAGAATATGTTTGGCTGGAATCCAATCATCATCTCTATGTCTTCACAAAATCTTTGCAAGCCTGTAAAATAAACAAATGTAAATGCAAAAGAGATCAGACTGCAGCTTACAAAATAGCTATTGTGATCTCCCTTGTGCCTAATTATCAGAACAGACACTCTTGACTTGTCAGTTCAGCTCTTCAAGCAGCATTCTAACCAAATGATATAATATGAGCTATAATATGGAAAGGCATCCTAATAAATTATGTACTTTAAAAGAAATGGATACACTATGTAAATATTAAACACATTTCTGACTTTTTGTATTTTTAAGGTACCAAAAAATAAGAATAAGGCAAACACAACTGGCTACAGTTCTACAGTATCATTTACTTATTTCCCTCACTGATTCCCTGAAGAAGTAAAACTGTTTTTATGGTGATGAAGAGTCATGAAAACTTCAATGAAATGAATGGAGGCTATACAAAAGCCACGTCTGCCAAATTGCTCCCTTGAAAACAAACTTTAAAAATTTACACCATCTTTCCAAAATACATAGCTCTCTTAATGTCAAGCCGCTATAACTAGTGAAATCAGAAAAATGCTTGTAGCCAATTTTTCTTTTTTTACTATTGTTGTCTGATATCCTACCCACCCCCGCCCCCAAGCCACACTAAACAAACATGTAGGAGACAGCCAGGAAAAACTTTTTCCTTAAGTTTGTGTTGTTCCAGAGCATTGGTGTATATCGTTGGCACAAAGCAAGATCTGCCATTGTTGGAGCCAACTTAAATACAGGAGCAAGAAAAGGAAAGAAGAAAAATAGTGAGTTATTTTAAAAGAATTTCTTGCAAATAGTATCTTGTATTCTCAGTTATAAAGAAAACAAGCCAAGGCCTAAAATTCAGAACAGCATCTACTGAATAATACACAAACAAAAATTGTTAAGCAAAAAGCAAATCCACCCAATACCAACAGAATTAATAGCAGTAAGTCAGATCCAGAATTCTCACTTTATTTCCATCCACTGTTGTGTTGTGTTGTTTGCTAGGCCTTCACAAGACTGCCTCATTATCTGGCTTGTTGCACCAGTTCTATGCACGCAGCAGTGCCTTCTGTCTTAGTGAAAAAGGAACTAATACTGAGCTGGTTCTGCTTCCTTCCCAAACTCACTATTCAGCAGGGCAACACCGTTTTGTACCAGAAGATGACTGAGCTGTGTGATGTTCCTCTCCTTGACACCTCACTGCCAGTCTTCTCACCTGTTTACCACTGAGTAAAGGCCCTGTGGTCAGTAACAGGTGTTTTCTAATAGGAACCCATACAATACCGAAATGCTGCTGCTGCTATTAAATATTCATTCTCAAAGAACAAAAAAATCTCACCTCAGAATGAAATGAAAGGCATAACTTCTCTTTCAGTGAGAGTGACAGATCAGGGCTGAATTTGCTGCTTTGATATACAGATCGTATTTTTAGGTTCACTTCATATAAAACCAAAACATGAGGGCTTGGCCATTCAAGCTTTATACCATTCCTGTTACTCTAGCAGTAATCCACATATTGTAGAGGATGGATCAAGTTCATAATGTTAAAAAATCAGCACCAGTGTTAAGGAAGGAATTGTACTTGCTACAAGCAGGGAAGCTGGCATTCAGAACCATTTAGGACCTAAGAAAGTACTGCAGAGATAGCAAGAGGCTTTGGATTAGAGAGCTGCCTTTATAAGTGTGGAAAACTAATTCCTGCAGAGCATTCAAACATATGTAGTCCATCCATTATGCTGCACAAACAAAACACTAAGCTAATTCTTGTTGGAACAACAGCTAAGTTTAAAGACAAACATTGTACCAGTGAAGAAAGTGTCCATTAAGGCTACTGAATGTTGACTTCTGAAAAGTAGGGCTTCATACATGCATCTTGGGGCTTCTTTTCTTTCTGGGATGCACTCAGGTGCCAATGACTGGGCACTCCATACATGATTTGGACAATGCCTTTCGACATACCATGTAGAAAAGCTGCCACTAGTGGGTGACATTGACCTTGATTTTAGCCACTTGGTGATCAAACACTCCTCTTCTAGAAGTCTTCTGTGGTTCCATACTAGGTGTGCAGAGAGCTCATTGCTCCCTTGTCACCCACACCAGTATATTTTATTTTTATTTATTTATTTTCTGATTTTTATATCCTGCCTTTTTCCTACAAAGGGCTCAAGGCAGCTTACATCATTCCCCTCCTCCATCTTATCCCCACAACAACAACCCTGTGAGGTAGGTTGGGCCGAGAGTCTGTGACTGGCCCAAAGTCACCCAGTTGGCTCCACGGCTGAGCGGGGACTCGAACCCAGATCCCCTGAGTCCCAGTCCCACGCTCTTAACCACTACGCCACCAGAAAGGCTGCCTGAGAAATGGTGGAGCACTCAGTCCCTCCTCTGGCAAGTCGTTGCATTTCTACGCTGGTGGAGAGGGGGAGGGAGGAGCCCCTGCCTCCATGCACACCACAGGAAGCAAGTGGGCCCTCAAGAGATGTTTGGAGCATTTCATTGGCCCATTCCATTCCTCCTCCTCTATAAAGTGGAACTACCTCTCACATGTCCACTACAGAAACCAAAAAAGCTAGAAAAGCTAGTAAGATCCCTTCCCTCCATCATGGCCTGAGACATTTTAATGACAGATGTACATCAGGAAAGCCTTCTGCATGTCTAGCACAGAAACATGGTAGAGCTTCATATCCTGCACATCTAATACAGAATTATGGCAAGTTAGCGGCAAATAGACAAAGCTATTCATGCCTTTATCCCCAGTCCACCGAGCTTCTAGTCTGGCACAACCTATTACCATGCAGTCAGCACAGAAACCAAGCAGATTAGCACAGCAAGCTGGGAGCACTGGGTGCCTCTTCTACTGTGCTGTTACATTTGTAGTCTGCTTTTGACTCCTAAAAGGAGCTAGCAAGGAAAGGATGAAGAAGAGGTCCCTTCACAATAAAACTCTGGGCTGAAACCCCAGGTTCTTCCCATCAAAAGCAACAAGAGAGCCCCTAATGGTGTATCATCTTGGGAAGTTAGCTCCCCCATCAAGCCCAAGTCCAGAGTCTAACTCAAAGGCAGCACACCACTGGGACAGTGTTCCACCAGCCTCTGTTGGCCATGTAAGACTGTTATGTGAAGGCATGTTACAAACAGTCAAGGTATGTTGTGGCGTATGCAACGCTTGAGTGCATTCTTTTTAAACCTCAAAATGTACATGAAAAGCCACTCTTGGTTCCCTTTCTTCAAAAGACTGTCTAGGTACTTTAGTAATTTGCTCTGTATCACTCACCTATACACTCCATTACAAATGAGAGACTTTGTGCTAGAAATCCGGGAGTGAAAACAAGGAAAGGTACCCTTCCCTGATGGAATCTGCAGTGTGTCTGTCATCCTACTTCCCAGGCAAAAGAGGAAGAACAGGCTGCACTCTTAGGCACACTTACTTAGGAGGAAGGCCAACTGAACTTAATTAAAATTTACAAATATGTATATGCTCTGACCGTAAGGGCATCTCCACCACTGAGAATCCTGAGAACTATAATTGTGTGCAGTCTAGAGGGAGACTAGGAATGTCTAACAGAATTCTCAGGACTCCCATCAAATTACAATGTTCAAGATTCTCCCAATGAAGCCATTAAAAGTAAACTAATATAAAACTGATATATGTTTATCATGTAAATACACCCCAGGAAGACAGTGGAAGATCTACATGTTATTCACCATGGATCTATATTCTGGGCCTAATATCCTAACTCTTCATACCTTCCTCTAACTTAATCAAAACCACAATTTCCTAGCTCATTGTGCTTATGTTGATATAAAAAGGAGCACTGCTTATGGTAAAGTACTTTGCAGCATTTTCACAAGCAGCACTAAATCTAGCATTTGAATGTTCATACTGGTAAAATAAAGAGCCAGACAGAACAAAATCACAGAGTTGGAAGGGCCAATAATTTAGAGTTTATTCTAAAACTCCTGCCCTACATATTTTACATTATATTTACAGGATTCAGAATGGATATGAAGGAGACTAAAAGGCACCCTAAGACTGTAAGATGGTGAATGTTTTTCTGGGTAGACCTATCCAATCTATACTGTGAATCACTTGTAGAAATGCTTTCAGACATTGTCATCAAGGAAATTGGGCACCAGGGAGAAGCCATTTCCACTTGCCTGCAGCAGATAAAAAGGTCACTAGGGTATGACAACTAATTTCCATTGGACAAGCAGGGGTATGACAACTAATTTCCATTGCAAACACTGGATATTGGGACCATTTGGCAATCCAAGCCTTTCATTAACCATCTTTGTTCCTTCAACCTGTTCACAAATCTCATCTCGGCAACACAGGGGGTGCTCTGTCAGATTTCCTGCATTGGATCTTCCTAGGAGAGAGCTTACAAGATCCTCTCCTTCTCTACAACACTTCTTCTTACCATGAACAAGAGTACAGACACAGTAGAAAATGAAAGACCAATGATAGGCAGCAGGAGAGAGGAAATAAACTGTTTTCTTCCACAGAGACAGGGAAATGAAGAAGATGAAAATTTGGGTGTGTAAGGTCTAACATGATTTGTTTTCAGGGCACACTTCATGGGATAAATGTTGCTGACTTACAGAGAAGTAAAAGGCAAAAGGAACAAGAAGAATTTGTGCAGAAGCAAGTATCTCTCCCTATGGGGGAATAGGAATGTTGAACTGCCCCAATTATTTGCCACACTACTTCCCATAATTTAGACATAAACATGTAGAATGCAAACATAAATTGGCAACAGCACAATCTTACTTTTCCTCTCCCCTGGTAATTCCAGCAGACAGAAGCCACCTCCACATTCATTGTGCTCCTCATTAAGTATAAACATAAAACGAGTTTTTATTATTCTGACAGGGGTAGGGGGTGGGAAAGTAGATGAAGGGAATTAAGTTTAAAACTGAAACACAGCTCTCTGATTTTCATGGGCTTACAGATTCTTTGCCTCTTGCTTTGCCTTGCAGAATAAAGCAAATGGGGATTTTGCAGGCAAGTCTGACAGAGAACCTGAAACCCTA